ATATATATATATATATATATATATATATATATATATATATATATATATATATATATATATATATATATATATATATATATATATATATTGAACCTTGCTTATAATATATATATTTATAATTATAATTATATATTATATTATATATAATGTAATTATAATTATACATATATGTAATTATGATTAATCTGTCAAAATTTTAAAAAGAGCCCTAGTTTATCATTCGGCCAGAGTTAGCATTATTTTTGAACAACACAAAGGTCTTCATATAAATCTTTTCGATTTTCTACGATTTTATATATAAAAAAAATTTGCTATAAAAAGTTTTTTAATTTTTGAAAAAATAGTAAACTTAATTAAAATAGAAACCATTTTAAATATGACTTTCTTTTGACTTAGCTTAGCTTTTAGTTTTCAAGGAATAAATCAATATTGATATATAATCTTAGATAATTTATTAATCTAACATAGTAAGGGTTCGGGGGTGGGTTAGATTAGTTCTCCCTGACAGCATAATTAGGGGACATCACTAAAGAAAAAAAAAAATCTCAGAAAAATAATACTAATACTATAGTAAGATAAAAAAAATATTCGAAAGCAAAAACAAACAAATCTGTAAAAATATAATATATATATATATATATATATATATATATATATATATATATATATATATATATATATATATATAAGTTAAATTAAAGCTTGTTTATATTGGAACGTAAGCGCTGAAGATGGTGTCACTGTGACAGCATTTGACAATGAATGGTATTGTAAAGCTTTAGGTTACACAGCATTTATTGTTAACTTGTTTTATACTAATTATAGTATTTATAATAAAATGGTTACATAATTATTCAGTATTTAGCGACCTGAAATTTAAAAAAATAGTAGTTAACTATTTCTTCGTCATTTTGTTTTACAATGTCAGGCACCTTTATAAAAAAATAAACCAGATATCTTTTCTGATTTAAATCCATAAATTTTTGTAAATTTGTCATTATCAATAGCTATTAATAGAGACATCTTACGTCATATTTATGATGTAATTAAAAGTAGTTGCTATTTTTATATTAACCACTTTAAAATCTTTTTTTTTCTTAACTCAACATGAGAACGACTGCCTGTTGTTCTCAAGCAATTGCATTCATTGGTATAAAGCTTGTTGCTGAAATATATTAAATATGACATGGATTATTTTTTATGGAGTGATTTATGTGCACGTATGCAAGTTATTTTTTAAGCATTAAGATGCAGATAACATCTAAGAAATGAATCTAATATCATCTTGCTGTTTTTTAAAAGTTTCAACAGGCGCCAAACAATAACTATATAATTGCTGTTCAATTTTTTATTTTATTTTGTTAAATTGTATTATGGTTGTTCCGCAATATCAAAAGCAATATAGTTCATAATCATAAACACCAGTGATGATATTACTATAGTATCGTATAAACATTTTAATATTTAGCGATAAAATTGTTGTTTAACTTGGTTAAAAAATGAAAGGAAACTGGAGGCAAATTTGAAAAGATAACAGCGTGATATAAATGTCCAACACACAATATTATGAGTTAATTTAAGTTAGTTTGACATAAAAATTGAACTTTATATGAAAAGAATAAAGAGCATATAAATAATAATTCAAAAATGCATCTTTTTAGTCGTTAAATTTGTTCTAAAAGCTATATATAATTTGCAATTACATAAATTGCATAAACTACCCTTCGCTTAATCTTGCGCTTTGCTTCCGAGTTCGTTTTATTACCGCTTTTTTGTAAGTTTTAATTTGTTCCTCGTTTGTCGGCCAGCTTGCTTCGTTTCTTACAATACTTGCTTCATATGTTGTTAAGTTCCCTTTTAAAACACGTATTGGTTTTACTTGTAAAAGAGTATGTGGAAGCTCTCTTTTTGCAAGACGAATACAAATTTCTGCGATTAGACACAACCCTCGAGGATCGTGACTGTGTGTTACAAATAAAATGTCATTAGTAGGGCAAACAACTACATGGCTGTAACTGTGAGATATTTTAAATGAAACCATTTTAAAAACGTCCGGTATAGCAAGTAAAGATGAAGTTAGGTTTCTAAGTTGATTGCTGTAATAAATTCCGGTCTGGGTTTCAACGAAAAGAGTACTCGTTTTTTCAATCAAACCAACTTTTTTAATAAGATTTTCTTGGGCATATCGGGGTATATCTCTTTCTTTAACTTGCCAAATATCAAGATCGGAACTTGATATATATCGAATGTTGTCTTCATTTCCGTTTACACAGTATCCATAAACTACTCCTAATGATGCACTTGAAATTTGTTTCGCAATTAACAAACATTTCTGTTCTGTTGATTGGAGAGTATCTCTAGCTCTTTTTATCCATACCCAGGGTCTCACAATTGGGTAAATATATTGACGCACTTCCAAAAAACTAGGCAGCGCAGAAAGTGTGACTTTAAACGATAACTCAAAAAGTAGTGAATCGTCTTGACTTGTTTTTCGACCAAGTAGTGGTAACGGACTTTTTCTAAAGCTCATATTTTTTAACAACAGCGCTGATTGAATATTATTATTTAAAGTAATGATACACACAAAAAAAATTTTATATGATAATAGCAAAACACATTTAATTAAACAGACCAGAGCCATCCATTGTTATTAACTTATAGATAACATTGTATGAATAGGAAAAGGTTCTAAACACTTTTTATAATCAGACAGTTCTAAACGATCAAAGTAATTGCTTTCAAATAAATAAAACTATTATGGTGAGATTAGCGGATTCGCACTGTGGTAATCTTTTTGATAAAAAAAAGTGCTTAATAATAATAAAATAATTCTAACATGTTAAAAGCTAAAAAAAAAAAAAGTAAAAAAATAAGAGATTAAAAAATCAAATTAACTGCATATGTCAGAAAATTATTGAAGTTTCATGCTGTTATACAATCAATAAAACTTAACAGAAATATTTTGATGTTTGTAATTTCAATACAAAAATACTTACTTGCAATATCATAAAACAACCTTTTTTAATATTGTAAATAAGTTTTACATAAAACTTGAAATAAAATCACAAATTGACAGAAAATAATGGTTAGACAAGCCTGTATATGTAAAATATTTACTGAGTGAAAATTTTACATATAAAGTGAGCTTTAAAAAGTCCTTTTCAAAAAAATAAAAACTTAATTTTTAAAAAATTTAAATTATTTTTAGCGTAAAAACAATTTGATTCTAGTTATAAAATTAAAAAAGAAATTTACATAAATGTGTGCTTTTTTTTTTTGTTCAATTGAGCATGTCTATAACAGCAGTATTTTTTATTATACTTTTTGTTATTTTACATATATACAAAACTTTTTTCTTTAGTTACATGGCTTATGACTAAATCTAAGTCTATGAAGTATTTTTACAATTTTTTTCATCGAAAACGTAAAAATATATAAACTACTTGTTGTCTTGCCATCCACTTTGTACTACACATTTTTAGAGGATGGATGATCTGATGATGATAGTGGTTGATATGAGGGTAGAGATTTTTAGAGGATGGATAGAGGATGGATATCTTCTGTAGATTATAATATTGCTATTACAAAAAATCTATAGTTAGTTTTACAAGTTTTGTATATATAACATAATTTCTTACAATTATTTATTATACAAATTTTATTTTAACTATTGTTATTGAACAGTAGTTAATTGTATACCAAGCTAAAAAATAATGATATTTATACATAATTAGTCATAATATATACATTGTATATAATAATATATAAATATACAGTGGCGGATACAAAGGGGGGAGAGGTTAAGGGGGTAACTATCCCCCCTAAGAAATGTCAAACTTCAAAACATTATTCAAAGTTTGTTAAAGAAATAACAAAATACAAAAAATTATTCATCAGCTAACAATTTACTCTTTTACTAAAACAAAAACTTTTACTAAAACAAAAACTAAAACTGAAGCAAAACTAGATTTATTTCATAGTGTTACAAAAAAATCTATTGTTGCATTTTAACGATATCGAAGAAAAAATGAAGAAAGTTTCGAAACATTTGAATGTTATCATCATTCATTCATTCTATTATATAAGTAGCTAACAATAAAAAACAGTAAAATTACTATCGTTCTATTTTTAAAAACTTTTTAAACTGTTTTTAAAAACTTACAAAAAAATATATATATAGGTTTGGTTTGAATGGTAAGTTTTTTTTATTATTAATTTAATTTTAATTTGTAGTATAATTTATATACGTGATGCTGTTTTTGGTAGTTAAAATTTCAATAAAAAAGTATTTATTTTTCAACAACTGATATTGTAGCACTTCAATTTATACTTCGCTTTTACACGCTTTAAGTTGTATTTAAATAAGATACGAAAAATTATTTATTTTAAATAGTAATTGAATGAATTTCTTATGAATTAGTTTCTTATTTAGAAAACAAAAGTGTGTTAATTACTATTTTAAATAAATAAATAACAAATTAATTTTACTATTTATAATGAAATTATTTTTATTAGCTACAATGACCAACAGGGTAAAGAGGACAAGCTCTTTGATGACTATTTTGTCAAAAGAAGTAAAATTCTACTAATGCAGGGCCATGCTGGTCTTATTGTTGTTGCCTCTATCCTCCGGGTCATCTTCCGAATGATTAAATTGTGCATTTATTGGCGGGGCTGAAAATAATTAAATTACAATGAAACTCAATCCTTTTTCTCCAGAACCAGGACTTGGTATGGAAGCTGCTAATTTTACAAATAAAACTAACGCAGACATTAATAAAGAAGATTCAATTCCCGCGACAAAAGATGATAGCTGATTGCCTATAGAAATTGGGGTAATTTTAACATGTCAAGTAACTGAAAAAGATAAATACCGAATATTGAAATGCAATTGGTTTCCTGGTCCAAATTACAAATATCCATATTCTGTGCATCTAAAGAAGGGTAAGAATGTTAACTGCTTTTTATCCGAGAAACATAGACAGAAGTTTCCATGGATAATGATTTCAGAATGCCTTTATGGAATTTTTTGTAAGTATTGCTTTCTTTTTGCAGAAGTTGGGGGAATACACGGTCAAGTGCAATTACTCAAGCTAGTTACTTTACCTCTTAAAAGTTATTCAAAGCTTTTGGGTAAGGATGGAGACTTACAAATACATGATTGCAATGCGTACCACAAAATTGCTATGTTGGCAGCATCAGATTTCATCAGAACATACGAATGTCCGTTAACAGATGTACGTAGTTTAGTTAACGAAGACTTAAACAAGCTAAAGAAAATAGAGAACGATTAAAGCCTATAATTGAATCTATAATATTTCTTGGTCGACAGAATATTGCTCTGCGAGGTCATCGCGATGATGGGCAGATCTTTGAAATAAATCAAAACTCTTCATTAATTAATGATGGCAATCTTCGGGAATTGCTTTGCTTTCGAGTGAGCGCTCGGGACAATATTTTAAAAAACCATTTGAATAACTGTAATTCTAAAGCAACATACATAAGTAAAAGTATTCAAAATGAAATAATCGAACTATGCGCTCAACAAATTCAGGGCTTAATTAAAACAAGAATTTTTAAAGGAAAATTTCATAGCGTTATATTTGATGAAACAACGAATAACAGTCATAGTTCTCAAATGACAATCGTTTTAAGATATATTGATGTTTATACCTGTGAAATACGTGAAGATTTCATTGGTTTTGTAAACTGCCATACTGAAAATTATTCTAATTTTACTTATGAACCTGTAATAACAGGAGAATTGCTAGCAAACACAGTTGCAAACACATTGACAAAATTTGGCTTCAATTTAAAATATTGTATTGGTATAGGTACTGATGGATGCAGTCTTATGTTAGGTAAAAACAACGGAGCAGTCACGAAATTACAGAAGATCCAACCAAGCGCAATAAAAAGTCCATGCTACAATCATGCTTTAAACTTATCAGTTTCTAAATGTTCGTCTGTGCGAGCTGTAAGAAATAAAATTGGCACAATGAAAAAAGTAAAATCATTTTTTAAAGGTTCGCCGAAGCGAAGTAACGTTCTTAAATATATAAATAAGGGAATGCTTACAAGCTTGTGCGAAACAAGATGGATTGAACGGCATGATTCTGTGTTAAGTTTTAAATCTTGTTTGACAAGTATAGTAGAAACACTTGATTTGATATCTCAGTGGAAAGAACGGGATTCTTCAACAAAGGCTACATTACTAAAAATGCAATACCTGAGCCTTTATTTGTAATAACTCTTTGTTCATTAGCTAATGTGTTAAATACCACAGTCTCTTTAAGTGAAGCTCTTCAAAAAAAATTATTGGATAAGGAATATGCAAAAACTATTCTTAAACATACCATAAAGATATTAAATAAAAGACGACAGAATGAAGAAAACTTTAACTCTATATTTATGACTGCATCAAAGTTAATAGAAGATATAGGTTTAAAAACCAAGATTCCACGAATTACAGGAAAACAAACTAATCGCGCAAACCTCAATACCAATGATCCTCTAACTTACTATAGAGTCAATGTTTATTTACCGCTACTTGATAGCATATTTCTAGATTTACAGTTCAGATTTCCTGATGAAACTTTAAACTCTTTTGAATTAAATGTTGCAATACTTAGAAATTTATTAAATAAAACAAAGACAAAGTTAACAGCATCCATAACTAATATACTGAGTTTTATGAAAGGGCTGCCCAATATAAATACTGTTGATGAGAATGTCCAATTAATGAAAGTTTCTTCAGAATTTGAATTTTGGGAGCTAAAATGGAAAGACGCAATCAAAAAGCAACAAGACCTACCTGAATGTGCACTGAAAGCATACAAGCAATGTGATTGTAATGTCTTCCCTTTAATTAAATGTAATTTGCAACTGCTTTGCACCCTACCTGTTAGCGTTGCTTCGGGAGAACGGAGTTTCTCGGTTTTAAAAAGACTCAAAACTTGGTTAAGATCTAATATAGGACAAGAACGATTAAATGGCTTAGCTATGATGCATATCCATAGAGATTGCATCATAAATATTGAAGAGATTATTGATAGTTTTGCATCTTTGAAAACTAGAAAGCTCAATTTTATATTGTAGTTTGCTAAACTTTGTTAAAAAGTCTTTATTAAAAAATGTATATATAAATACTATAGATATTATTTTGTCTTTTGTTGCACATTACAGGTTTACCTACAGGCAGACAATACTGTAGCCTGTGCACCATGATTTTAACGGGCTCAATTTTTAAATGTATCGTTAAAATAAAAACCGTCTCTTATTACAAACTAAGTATATATTTTCAACTTTTGATTTTTTCAAGATATTTATATGCAGTTACATTCAATATATTTAGTAACAAACTTTTCCAAAAATATTTTAAATAATCAAATAAAAAAGTGGTTTATCTGAAGAAAAAAAAAAGCGGAATTTTTTTGTAGGCTAAGTTAACCCTCCTAGGACATTATAAAACTTAGCTTATGGTATCATAAACATTATATATATATAAAGAAAAACTTGATAATTGGAAAAAATGATAGATAAAATTAAACAAAGATAAACAAATTTAGAATATATATATATAAAAAAAGAAAGAAATTTGTTTCCCATTGGGTTATTTACTTGTTTAATACTAACTATACATGGTTCCAGAATTTTTACTAATCTTAGTTTCTCCATAAAAAAGAAGGATAAAAAGTTAAATACAATAAAATTAAAAGTCTTTTTTTTTTTCTGTATAATTAGTAGCCGATAATATTTTTTTGTTTCTTTATAATTAGGTGGTAAAATAAGAAAAAATAATGGAAAAAAAAAGTTATTGCAAAAACCTTTAAGACAAGATTTATTTTATAACAATTTTAAAAATTAGTTATTTCATTGAGTCCTTTTTTTTTTAATGACAGCAATTTTTTTTTGGCAAAAAAAGTATATAGTATATAACTGTTTACTCATGTACTACATGTGTTACACGTGTTTACTCGTAAATTTATGGACAATATACATGTAATATTCCAAGTAATTTTTATGTTGTTGAGCTTGGAATTGAAATAATTAGAAAACAGTTTACGTTTTACTTCGACAAGTTTTTATTTTTTCTAAGTTTGATAGAATTTAGGTGAGTTTTTTGTAAATTTTTTTGTGCAATAAAAAAATGCATGTTCTCCAGAGAGTTGTTTTTGTTTTAAAATTAAAAGACAGAGTTAAAATAATAAATAACAGCTGCGCAAGAAGAAGAAAGTCGTGCCGTAGATTGAGACTTGACTTCAAACCAACAAAAAGAAATAGAGGCCTAGGAGGCCTCCCACAAGGCAGTAGCCAGTATCATTTAATATGATGAGATTCTTTATGCCTTTGATGAGTTTCTTTATTGAGATTCCATTATTATTTTTTATTCAACCAAAAGCCCTGAAGCTAAGGGCAATTTTTAATCAGAGTTAACTTCTCCTAGCCTTTGCTTAGACATGAGACAGGTTTTACAAGATTACAAATTACAGAATGATTATGATGTTAGAAAATTTTTGAAGTTAGCTTTTCAAATTTCAAATAACTATTATATAGTTATTTATATTTTGAAAATGATTTTTTTAAATACTATAATAACATCCTTTCTGATACCTTAAAAAGTGCAAGTTTGTGTTTGTTGTTTAAAAAAGATTTAAGAGCGTGCGTGCGTAGATATAGCGTGGACAGAAAACAATCTCTAGTTAAAACATTACTATTACTATGTGTATAGGGTGATAGCTAAATGTATGGATGTTTTATATATGACATTTTCTGACATTGTGCACAGTGGCGTAGGAAGGTCAAGAAAGTTGGCTGAAATGAAAACTATGGCAGCCAGAATAAGAATTTAAATAGAAAAAACAAGAATTATCTAAAGGTTGGGGGAGCTATGGCCCATCAGCTCCCTGTTTCTACGCCAGTGGTTGTGTAGACTCCAAGATTAGATAAGTTTATGTCATGGGAGAATTTTTTTAAAAAGAATTGTGGTGAGTAAAACCTGAAAAAAAATATTAACTCAAAATGTTTGTTTCCCTCACTATATATATGAGAGTAATAGCTTAATAAAGATGAGAATGCATATTCATAACATAAGTTTGGAGTTTTCACAAATGCGTTAAAGCATAAAATAGACGGGGCCCCAACTGACGTCTCTGTTTGCGTAGAGGCAGTATTTACATGCACAAAATATAAGTATTTAATTTTAATATTATTAGTATAAATATAAAATTTGATAACTTTTTGATAATTTTGTTTGAGTGGTTTAATAATATTTGAATTAAAAACTTTTTTTAAGAGGTTTAATGTGCACTTAGTTAGACTAAATCTAAAGGTTTTAAATGAGCCATATAAAATTAGGTCTAAAGATTTATATGGGTCTAAAAAAATTAAACTTTAACGTTCTTTTTACGTTTATTAGTCCTATAATAGACTTCAAAAATACTTTTAAATCTCGACGTTTATTTGAGACGGGTAATCGACCAAAACTCTTTTTTGACGTTTAATAAATGTTCATATGTTTATTGAGTGGTTTAAAGGCCCAGGTTTTGTTTTTGCATATTTTTGGAAACTTTACCCGGACTTATACCTTATACATTGGACTTAAACATTGTATTCGAAAAAATATTGGTCATTTGTTTTTCTATTAAGTCAAATAGTTACTTTTCTAAAAAGTAGTTCATTTTTGGTAGACAGTTAGTGTACATCCTACAAAATGGAATTTTCTAATTATAGCTTTTACTAAATTGCTAATTTAACCATTAAGCAGACCGTTTGAGCCTTTATTGTTAAGGAATACAGCTTCAAGAGTTTATTCACTTGCATTTGTTTTAGAAACTCAAGTTAAAATTTTTAAATTTTTATATATTAACTACTTTCTTATCTTTGCTATAACTTCTGTTAAATGTAAAATGTTTTTTTTTTCAATTGCAGACAGGGTTGGCATTAAAAATCCCGCCCAAAAAAAACCGCCCAAAAAAACCCGCCTAAAAAAACCCAATAAAACCCTGGAAAATCTGGGTTTTATTGGGTTTTTTTAAAGACATTTAATAAGTTTATGAACTGTTATAACCGACTTTAACATTATAACTATAATATTATTAACTAAAATAATTATTAACTATTATTATTAACTAAATTATTATTAACTATTATTACTAACTATTATAACCAACAATAACAGCTATCAGAGCAGGTTTACTATTGTTTGAATCATTATTTGGAAACACATTATTACAATTTTTATTCAATTGAGATTTTTATTACTTTATGTTATTCACCTCCCAAGTTGAGTAGTAGTGATCAGAGAAGCCAACACAACAGTCGAGGAGGCTACCTTGTTGTGGTTACAATCCTCTCTCAACTCTTACGCGGTAGTGGTATTGTGGTAGAGCGCTCGCCTCATAAGTGAGAGGTTCCGAGTTCGATTCCCACCACGTCTCTGGCAGTACGGCGCTCAACTCCTTTCTCCGCGCAGCGGTCTTGTTCGTCAAGGTTCGTGTTTCGGAGTTATAGAGTTAAGAAAGAGTTGAAGTGGCCTTAAGCCTTGAGAAAGTGAATTGAATAAAAAAAAAAAAAAAAACTCTTTAATTCCTAAACACGAATCTTTATAAACAAGGCCGCGGTGCAGAGGAACAAGTTTGTTCATTTGAATTTCAAGTTCAAAGTTTAATTGAAACTTCAGTTACTACCTCCCATTCTTTAGCCTTCTTTTTCCCATTTTCTCATTGACATTTTTAATTATATAGAATAATACTTTTAAATTTAAAATAAATCAATACATATAGATTAAGCGTGAAATTTTTTTTTTCTATTACAGTTTTAAATTATATTTAAAAATCTTTTTCAAAATAATTTTAAAAATTCTTGTTATAAATAGTTAAACAACAATATGTAAAATATATTTTAAATAAAGTTAAAGTAGAAAATGAAACTAATTTTCAATATCATTAAACAAAAACACAAAAAAAAAATTTACAGGGACAAAATAAAAATTAAACCCAAAAAAACCCAAATTTACCCAATAAAACCCAATAAAACCCGAAAAAACCCACTGGGCCGGGTTTTTTTAAAAAAACCCGGGTTTTTGCCAACCCTGATTGCAGATATTGTTATTGGTTTTCCTTTTTAATTTTGTAAACAAGCTTTTATCGATCTTTTTTGTCAACTTCTCCAATAACTTTTTATTGTAAAATTATGTTTAAAGTCAAGTATTTATAACAACTGTGCAACTGTGTAGTAACTGTGCCACAGTCAATAAGTTATCTTAAAGCTAAATGAGCATCAACTCATTTAGCTTCTTATTACTAATTTATAACATATTGTTGTTTTTGCAAAGCTAATCTAGTATTTTTAGATGTACAAAGAAGACTTTTATTTATAAAGTTCTGGATCATGGCCATTTTACCATTATCACAATAATTTCTTCCGAAGAAAGATCATACTAACCAAATACTGATTATATTTAGATTTATTTGAATCAGATAATTTATTTGCACCATGCGTTAATCTAATATTGCTGGTATACTCAACTGCTGGTGTATTGCTGGTATATCCAAGCACCCGTAGGAGAGTAAACATAAATTAAATACCAGTAAACGAATAAACCCAACTTAAGTACCATTTAAAAAAAGTATTTATATTTAAGTACAACATATTTTCAAACCTAAGAATAAAAACAAGAAAACCTATAATAAAAAATAAAGCTAAAAAGTTTTGACCTTTATTTTTATTCGTTTTAAGTCAAAACGAAAACTGATAAAGAACCACCGTTTGTTGTTATCCTTAACAATAAAAACGAACTCTAATTTAAAAGCTGCAAAAACTTAAAAAATTTGAGCAAGTTTAGCAATGTTTTTTTTAACCCTGATTTAACTGAGGCTAAAAGATATAATGCAAAACTATTGAAAGATCAGTGCAAAAAACAAAACTTAAAAATTTACAACCATTGGTTAATTATTATGGTATGTAAACAAAATTGCTAATATTGTTAAATAGCAATCATTTATAAATAACCGGAAATCAAAACTAATTAATTACAAGTCATTAATTTTTATGGAATATAAAAACGTGTACAATAATGGTAGAATTTTACCAGAAAA